ACGATGATCGAACTGAATTGTGATGTGTCCGATTAGATCTGGGAAAATCCATGGTCCACACTTGGAAAAAATAATTTCGACCGTATCTAGTGCTAGCCTCAACGGTGAGACAGCTAGGTTGAAGCACGTTCCGATTGGGCTAAACTATCTTGTTAGGGAAGGCGCGTTTACAAGGGAATGGCACAAAAAGTTTGTCGTGAATAGAAACGAAAAGTGGACGGCTAGCGTCTGACGGCGATAGCCCAAAAGCTGGGTTTACCAACCGGTGGGCGGGCAGAGGGACGAGGCATCTAATGGGAATGGTAAAGCCTGAGCGGGTCGCTATGGATGCCGCTCACTCGCTGTAGTGTCACATTTCGCTCCCTTGAGAGCCCAACTCCCGTTTATAGTAGGTGTATTTCCCTTTCTCGCCACACAATTCATCGTGCCACCTGCGTTTAAATAAGGATCTCTTAAAGGCAGAGTTTACGATGGAAAAGGCAGCCCATTAGGAACCAAGGCAGTCAGTGGTGCAGAAATGAAGAAACCTATGAGAAACGGCCCAGAACCCGAGAATTGGGACTTTCTTTGCCCGTTGATTTCCGCATTGATGCAACTTTCATGCCGGTGTGTTGCTGCATGCTTCAACGTTAACGCTCTCTCTCTCTCTGTTAGACGGTTCGGACCGCGACAGGGTGGGCGTGCCGCGGCACTAGCGGCGTGGAGATGGTCATGCTAGATCGCCGGGGCGTACCCTTCGCTGAGAATTCCGTGTCGGTCTGCACCCTTAGGGCTACCTGCCTTTCCATCAAGGCATGCAATGACATAATGCACGTCGTACTTTTCCAACCTTCTACCTTATCGTGCAGTCCTCCTTCAAAGCTGAGTGATGAACCACAATTGAACTTTATCATTGTAAATGACCAACTCACACAGATTCATGTTCTCTGCAGCTGCCCCAAAGCTGCTGCGATTGCTGCACCGCTAGGTACTTGTCCAGGTTTCCTACCAGACTTCGCTTTGCTGGCGGCGGCTTCCCCACCTTCATCCTCACCCTCCTTTTCGGCGTAAATCTCTTCGGCCCAATCCGTTAGATACTGAAAATCACTTTTCTTGATTTTGGCTGATGAAAATTACAATGAGAAAGGAGTTGACAAGACAGCACTGACCTGCACGATGTCTTCGGGGCCGGGATATGTAAATGGTAACAGCCAAGCGATCGATTCGTCGGCGTCACTCAAACCACTTTCAGCCAGTGTTAGGTATGAAGTAAGCGTTAACTGTAAACAGCGACGTGATTTTGAAGGCATGCCTCGGGATGAAACTGCCGTGGTGTTTGTACACGAAAGTAGGTGCGAAATGAGCCTGTAGGGAAGAAAAAGGGAAAGAATCGTCAAAACGCTTAAGGGCTTGCTCACCTTCGTAATCGGCTGTGCTAAGGAATGAGAGACTAAGCGCGGAGAGGAGAGTATGAGGCGAGAGAGCGCAACAGATGAGAGGGTGCCAGACAAAAGCTTGCTGCTGACGGGGAAAATTGAAACTTAAAACTGAAGCTGTTTCTGCAAGTCTCCTAGTTCTTGTAAGGTCATTTCCATGAACGTGAGTGCCACATCTGTAATTGTCAGTTACCAGACAGGAAGCCCGTCGCGCGGCTAGAAGGCAGAAACGCAGACCGTTCAGTGGACGAGTCGTAACGTGTACTACTGTGATTTCGCGTCAAACTGAATATACTATATGTAAGTATAAGTGTAAGTTTATTACGTCTGCAAAAAGCACACGTGAAAAAGGAATTTGAATATCTCTATGCATACAAAGTAGAGGGTGCTTATAAAAAATTCCAATACAAAAATAGTTAACTGTAACTATAGTACGTCCCACATTACGCAGCACGTGCTCCAACTCGACCGCTGACACGTCTGTATCCTGCCTCCTCCTGTCGGGTACCCTTGATTGTGGGTACCCCCAGGAGGCCCGTCGCGCGGCAAGAAGGCAGAGTCGGCGGACGAGTTGCAGCGCGTGGTGTGCGATGTAGGACGTGCAGTGGGACACTCTATTTAACTTGACGCGAAATCCCTATAGTACGCGCGCGACTCGTCCGCTGACTTTGCCTTCTTGCCGCGCGACGGGCCTCCTGGGGGGGGGGGTACCCCCGCAGTCACAGACTGAAGGAATCGATGACTCGAGTCTGCGTGGTGTTGTGTCATTGAGCGATAGAATTATCTGGCAACAGCAAACGGCATTCGAGGACGAGCGCAGTTTGAATGCGGCAGGTTCAGATGTTTGACGTGACTTTGGTTCCAGCATTTCGCATACCGCCATGATAATAGGAAAACTTTTTTAATGTTAGCCATGTCCAGGTGTAGCTAAAACGCTACAATACTGGTAGATGCAAAAGCGAGCGGTTTCTTGGATTGCTCACAACGTTGGCAGCCATGGCTCCTTTCATGAACATTGTGAATAAGCGGCTTAGTTATCAAACATAGGCAACACTCTTGCCTAACAATCATCTTCTGCAGGAGACTCACGATTTAGGGGCGCAGCAGTGTCGCAGCACAATGCCGGCAACCCACTAGTCATGACTGGGCTGGCTCGCGTAGTGGACACGTAAACACTCTTGTTTAGCCAATCACGACGAGTGATTGTCAGCCTGGATAACTCGTGTCCTCAACATAAGCGCCTGGCACTGCTGCGCCCATAAACTCGGGGAGGCTCTTGCAGTTTTTATTCGGAGAGATGTTGCCCCGGTGATTGTCAGCGGCTGGAATAACTCGTACAAATGAAATTGGAACCTTAGGATCGCCGTCATATTCGCGACCTCGAGATTGAGGGATATTACAATGTACAAGGATATGACAATGAAAAACATATGTATTGACGGCGAGATTAGGATAGTAGTAGATTAGGATAGTAGTAGAGTAGGAGATTGCGCTGACAAGATTAGATACGTATCGATTGAAATCGCCGGAGAGTAGTAGATTGCGATATTACGATAGTAGGATAGTAGTAGAGTAGGAGATTAGGAATAGTGATTAGTAGTAGATTAGGATAGTGCGCTGACAAGATTAGATATGTATTGATCTATTCGCTTGAAGTCGCCCAATCTACTACTCTCCAGCGATTTCAATCGATACGTATCCAATCTTGTCAGCGCAATCTCCTACTCTACTACTATCCTAATATCCTGTCGCCTACTATCCTAATCTCCCGAGTCGCGAACTATGAACGCGGGCCTTAAGCGCAGACATAGAATCAGTCCGCGCATTAAAGAGAGAAAGCGGAAGGATTGGTGTGTGTCTCGACGCCAAACCAATATGGTCATTATCACTGGCTTCTATTACAGCTTTATTCTATTTCCCGTTCTCGCTCTCCCAGACACCTTTAGCATTAATACGTCTTCATTTGTAGACTGTCTTGGCTACATAGAAATTCAATTTATCATTTGATGTAGACAACGTGGTGACGTTCCGAATGGAACTTCGCCCACATTCAGTATACAACCCTATAGCTTCTTCAAAACTTTAAATGGATCTACCTGTGGCAAAACATGGATCGCTAAAAACTACAATTTCAAATCCAAATGCTACTGATAGCAACCAAATGGGAAGCATTGGGTCGAGCATTCCTTGATTTGACGAGAGCAAGGCCGAAATGCAACCTGAATAGGTAATTGTTACAGTAAGGACTTTCTATGTTTACGGTTGGTGTAGGCGCATATCGATTGGTCACTTGGTCAAGCCGCGCGCTGTGCGAATGTGCCACATGGAGTGCGCACACTTTCACAACGAATCATGAAAAAAGTAATGCGCCTTGAGTGGGGCACTTATAGAGGAAAGAGTGACCCAAACAGATATGACAGGGAACCAGTGAGGGAACCAGTGATCACAAGGGATTACTACGTTTCAGTTGCAACGCATGGCTCAGACAATCGATACACTCCCTCGTGAGGGGGGGGGGGCGGGGCAAATCACTGATGTACAGGTATTCATTGAACTTTATCAACTAGATTTACTGGAATCAAAGATAAATTAACAACAAGGACCAAACTTTCTTGTTTGTTAACCCCTGCCCGGGGCGGGAAGTTTAGCCCATCACTCAGCGTTACGGTGAATAACGGTCGAAGAGATACTCGAACATGGCTCTGTACTGGGCGAAAGTAGTGCCGAGAGTGAACGCACGCGCAGGAGGACCTAACTGATCAGACGAAAATCCTCGACGTGCCGTTGAGGAATCCCCGACCGAAATTCACCCTCAGCATTCTTGTGACTAATACCTCTCTTTCTTGTACCATCTTTCGTGGAATATGTCGCCTTCGATATTTAGTTCAGCCAGTCGATATTCAGTACATTCTACTGAAAAGCAACACGATAGCGGATAAAGACACATAGTCTCCTCTCCAGAGCATAACTTCAGCGTTTTGTCCTTCGGTAAGGTGCTGCAAAGCAATTTTTTCTCAGAAGCATTTTAAGAAACATCGTTTATTTTTTTTTAGTTCAAATAGGCTATGGAGAACTTTTACAGCTGAATCTGTCGAAACAATGGAAAAGTATGAGGCGAAATAGTACTTAGCGTTTCCGTAGAGGTCAACCGCCGATAGGATCTTCATAGTCTTCGGCTCCACCTATTCCACAGCATTCAAATGAGATCTGTGAAAGTTAACATCAAAGTCATAGCTAAATTATTATTGCAGCAGCTTCAAAAGAATTTATTTATGGAGATAGCAGTTGTTTAAAAGTATGCCTTGAATGTTCATACCTAT